CTAAACCCTAAACCCTAACCCTTAGGCTCGTGGGCCTCATTTGTCCGGGCGTGTTGCTCCAAAGACCATACCGCATAAGGCTGCGGCGACGGCACTTAGGATGATGTTGAAGAGTGCGAATGAACATGATGACGAGGAGGAAACACTGACAAGTCATGCTGAGGCCGAAAGTGTTGATGGTCGCCATGCCAATGAACAATGATAATAATATGATGATGGTGGTGATGATGACGACCGTCATCCCGCTTCAGACGATGAGCCGTCTAGCAGTCCTGTAGTAGACTCAGAACAGACACAGTTCGCGTCCTCTTTGCTTGTCGTCGCCATCGTTGCCGCCGTCGTAGAAGTACAAGGGGGTAGTCGTGGTCGCAAGAGTTGTAGGGCAATAGTAGTCGTAGTAGTAGTCATCTTCGAGGTAGTGGCAGTGGTACTGGTCGTAGAGCGGCAGCCGCAGTAGTAGTCGTCGTGGCTGCTGTTCTTGGTAGAATAGGGACAGACTTGCACTCATGGCAACTGCATCGGTTCCCTAACAGCAGCAACATCTGTATCCACAGTGCGACAATATCGTGACAGAGTTCTCTCATTGTAAAAGACCCAGACTAGACCCTAGACCCTCATCCCGAGACCCTAGACCCTAAACCCNNCCCTAAACCCTAAACCCGGAAGGCTAAATCCTAACATCTCCTCGATCCGAAGGCGTCCCCTTGAACCCTGGAGGGCTTAAGGTTCGTGGGTAGGTACCAGTGGGCTTATGAGGCCCATTAATGTGGGGTTATAAGTTATAAGCTATCGGGTTTGGGGTTTAGGGTTTTGAGTTTAGGGTTTAGTGTTTAGGGTTTAGGGTAGTTACGCTACCCATGAGCCTAGAAGAACGGCTTGAGGTTGTCAGTGCCGGACCGTCCCTGCGACAGATGCAGTCTGCGGCAAAGGACACGGCCGCTCGGCACACCATAACTATAGTGAATCTCGGTTCCTCTTCAGGGTTCCTTTAAGGGTTCCTTTGAGGGTACCCCTAAACCCGAAACTCTAAACTACAGTCATACCCTAAACCCTAAACCCTAAACCCCTAAACCCTAAACCCTAAACTACAGTCATTTAGTTCGGTGGGATTTAATCCCCTGCAGTTTTGCGGCTCGACAGGGTTCGGGATGCTGTATAACTAGGTTCGTTTAGGGTTTAGGGTTTAGGGTTTAGGGTTTAGGGTTTAGGGTTTAGGTTCCCCAGTAGTACACTTTTGCCCTTTTTCTTTTGGGTTCCCTTATTAAAACCCAACAGTAGGGAGAAGGGTGTACCCTTATCATTAAAGGGGCTACTGGGGAACCTAGACAAGAAGGGTTTCGCAAGGGCGTTGGGTAGGGTTCTTCTGGTAGTTTCGGGTTCCGGGCTTCGGGTCAAAGAAGATGTTGGGGTCAGGGTTTAGGGTTTAGGGTTTTAGGGTTTATCGTTTTAGGGTTTAGGGCTTAGGGTTTAGGGGGTAGGGTTTAGGGTTCAGGGTTAGAGATTCACGGCGACAGATCGATGGACTTCGGTGTTCATTAATGGGCCAGGAGGAGGAAAGCAGCACTGGAGGTGTGCAGTTGAGTAGCAGCAAACGTGTAGTCCTCAATACCACCCTGTCATTAGTCTTCCGAGTTCTTTCCATGCGACTGTCGACTTTCCTGAACTCTGAAACTTGTGCTCCAGGTAGGTTCTCTTCCGTCTACGTTTGCCTACGACATGGCGGATTAGTTTCAGTTTGGGCCCATCGAAATTTTGGACAGCACCGTAAGCTTCTGAGATTCCTAACAGTAAACCCAAGACCCTTAACCCTATTGACGACAAAACCGCACGACAAAGAAAACGCTGCGAACTCCAAGCCCTTAAACCCTAAACCCTAAAACCCCAAAGCCCTAAACCATGCTAAACCCCTACACCCTAAACCCCAGACCTTAAAGCCCTAAACCCTAAACCCCTAAACCCTAAACCCCTAAACCCCCTAAACCCTAAACCCTTAAAGCCCAAAGTCCTGGACCCTAACCCCTAAACCCCTAAACCCCAAACCCTAAACCCTAAACCCTAAGGATCGTAGGTGACCCTGTAATGGAAGGCACAGACTGCCTGCCCTAGTGGGCTCTCCTGCGGACATGGTACGGTGGGAAAAAGGCCCTCAAAAAAAAAAAAAAAACTAATCCCTAAATCCTAAACCCTTAAAGCCCTAAGCCCTTAAAGCCCTAAGCCCTGGACTATTTGGGGATATAAGGACCCCAAAATAAGGACCCTAAACCCTAAACCCTAAACCCCTAAAAGCCAAAACCCCTAAAACCCTAAACCCTAAACCCCTAAACCCTAAACCCTAAAACCCTGAACCCTAAACCCTAAACCCTAAACACCCTTGTTTTCGGAAACTCCCATTTCATGGAATCCAGCGTTGGCAGATCACGAGCCTCCCACTCCGAACCCAACAGACATGGCTTCACTACTGTTTAGGGTTTAGGGTTTAGGGTTTTAGGGTTTAGGGTTTTGGGTTTTGGGTTTTAGGGGTTTAGGGGTTTAGGGTTTAGGGTTTTAGGGGTTTTGGCTTTTAAGGGGTTTATGGTTTAGGGTTTAGGGTTTAGGGGTTTAGGGTTTAGGGGTTTAGGGTCTGGGGGTTTAGGGTTTAGGGTTTAGGGTTTAGATAAGGGTACTATCGGGTTTAGGATTTAGGGTGTAGGGTTCCGGCTTTAGGAGTTTAGGGCTTATAAGACTACTTGCAGGTTCGCGGGTGGTTATAAGTGCGTTTCTCGAAGTAGGATAACTATAGCTATATCCAACATTAAGTCGACTGTCAAGTTCAGCTGGAATCGGGCTTTTTTTGGCATCCCAGTTCAGTGGACTCTACTTGTTGTGCGATACCGTTGTACATAAGACGACCGCCTAAATCCCGCCCCCTAAACCCTAGACTGCCCTAAACCCAAACCGTGAACTCTAAACTCTTAAACGCTAAAACTTACAAGGCGACAGATCTCATGAAGGGCATCCGTGGGCTTCTCTTCGATGCTCCGATGCTGCCGTAACCTCGGTGATGCAGAGTGTCGAGATTGTGAGGTCGTTAGGCTTCTGTTTCAGCTGCGGTTTAGGGGCTTAGGTGTGTTTGACATCATAGTCAACTTGGACACTTCCCTCTCCTTGAACCCTCAAACCCGAGCCTCCAACATTCCACAGTAAAGCTGAAGTCTTGAATCGAAGCCGTCGTAAGTTGCGCTTAGTATTCATAGGGCTTGGTATCACAAGCCTCCAGAATTAGGCCAACCAATGTACCTTTCAAGGACCAAAACTGATAGACTGGTAAGCTTTTGCATCGTACATAACCCTAAAACTCGTAAACAGCCCTAAACCCTAAAATCCTAAAAACCCTAAAGCCCTAAACCCTAAATCCAAAAAAAACCCTAAAACCCTAAAGCCCCATGCTGAACAGGAGTCGTCAAACTGCAAGTCCAACCGTCCGGGGCCCTCAAACCCTGAACCCAAAAACCCAAAGCGCCTAACGCCCAAAACCCTCCGGTTTAGGGTTTAGGGTCCTTATAACTAAACCCTAAACCCTGAAGTCCCAAAGCCCCAAACTGTAAGCCCTAAACCGTTCCTAAACCTTTCCGCGTTGTACATAGCTTGCTGCTTGGCAAGTTTGTCTAAGGTAGAACCCATGGGCCCCTAGTATGGGCCCTTAACCCTGGGACCCTAATATACCTACTATATACCCTATATATAATCTTAAGGGACCCTAGAATCCCCTAAGGGCCCATGTTAGGGGCCCATGGGTTCAACCTTAGAGTTTGTGGGCGGAGCTTTTCGCTCCCGATGGGTGGCCGGAAGATCCAAGCCCCCTAAATCCCACAACTCTGGGCCCCTCAATCCTAAACCCTAAACCCGAAAGAAAAAAGGCCCTAAACCACTAAACCTTTAAACCCTAAGCCATAAACCCCTAAACCCGTAAACCTCTAAACCTCTAAATCCCTAAACCCTAAAACCCTAAAACCGCTAAACCCTAAACCCTAAACCCTATCAGGCTTAGAGCTCTAAGGCTTCTGGGGGTTTAGGGGTTCCTTTAAAGGAGCTATAAGGGTTCCTATAATTCCTATAAGGGTTTAGGGTTTAGGGTTTAGGGTCCCTATAATTCCTATAAGGGATCTTTAAGGGGTACTGTATGGGTTTTGGATCTAGGGTTTTAGGGCTTGAGGGTTTAATTAGGGTTCAGGGTTTTGGGGTTCACGGTTTCAGGTTGATTTTAGGATTCAGGGTTTTAGAATTTGGGGTTGTGTGAGTTTGTGTTGGCGGTTTGAGGTCTTACATTCAGTCAAGTAAACCCTAAACCTTAAGCCAAACCCTAAACCCGGCGGCTTGGGGTCACATCCCCAAGCTCACCCTCCAACCTACGGCTAAGGCCTCAGCTTTCTGCATAGGCGTTTCGATACCCTAAACCCTATAGACCCTAAACCCCTAAACCCTAAGCCCTAAACCCTTTCCCGTTATTGAGCCTCAGAGGATCCTATTTACGAATGTGCGTCCAGGGCTTTATATAAGCGGCCTATGCCGCTGCGATATGTGCTTATTGCGGTGTAAGCCTAAACCCTTAGCCCGAAGCCCTTAAACACCAAGCCGTTAAACTTACAGGATTGTGACGAAAAACAGGTTGTGTGGCGGTGACTCTGAAGGCTTGGATCTGCACCACATGCCGGAAACTCTTGAAAGTAATGTCTGAATATTTAGTGATAGTGGTATTGGCTCAAAGTCGGTTCATGAATACAGTCTACTGAGCCCTGAACCGTATTTTGATACTTGAGGCTCTATATCACATTTTGTTCGATGATGGTTCGTGGATGTTAGCAACAAGCCTTCTGGGCTGCTAAAATGCTAGGAAGAGCTAACTGAGTTGGAGCTTACGGTGCTCCCAATATGGGATGATCGGCACCAGATAGCAGCAGTAGTATCATCAGTCGTATCACAGCTCTAAACGATAGTACAGTAACTACTACGCGTCTGTTGCCGCTGCCGGCACTCTTGGGACTCTTGGGCACAAATCCAGAATCGAAGCGCGAACAAGCACAATGATGCAAACATATTCACTTAATTAGGCTAGCAGCTGAAGTAGTAGTAATAGTAGTAGTAGTAGTAGTAGTAGTAGTAGCAGCAGCAGCAGCAGTAGTAGCAGCAGCAGCAGTAGCCGTAGCAGTAGCCGTAGCAGTAGCAGTAGCAGTAGCAGTAGCAGCAGCAGCAGCAGCAGCAGCAGCAGCAGCAGCAGCAGCAGCAGCAGCCGTGGATAGGAGCAAGAGCACAGGTGCAGGTGCAGGTGCGCATGCAGGTGCAGGTGCAGGTGCAGGTGCAGGTGCAGGTGCAGGTGCAGGTGCAGGTGCAGGTGCAGGTGCAGGTGCAGGTGCAGGTGCAGTTGCATCAGCAGTAGTAGCAGTACTATGCTAGTGATGTGGTGACACGGCGTGGCGAGTAAGGTTTAGTGCTTTCGGCTCGTTTGTTAGGCTAAGTTGCAGTGACTTATTCCAGCGTCATGTTCAGCTAGATGCAAACCCTAGGATGCGAGGGTTCGAAATTCGCGCATTGTGTACAGGTCGTCGGCATTTCGTCTGTGACGGACTGCAACAAAGAACAGGCAGCCGTTGAACTTTGAGTTGTTGTGGATTGTTCTAAACTTGGACTCCCATCAAAGGACCCAAGATCTCAGGAGTGTACTTTCATCATGAACTCGAGCAGGGACCTAACAGTTGCAATTCGTTTATCCCAACAACACCCTCACAGGGCTATAGCCTTTCACTCTTCACCAAAAACCCTAAACCCAGCCACAAACCCTGAACCTTAAACCTGAGTATGGATGTTCATGCAGTCGGAAAAAGGTGTCAAACAACCCCAGACCCTAAACCCTAAATCCTATTTCGGGCAGACGTAAAAGAGCCATCCCGGCTGTAAACAAAAAACCAACCACAAGGGATCCCACAACCCTAAACCCTAAACCCTAAACCCACACTGGAACAATCCCAATGTGCTCCTGACCTCCGAAGTCGCATTTCAGGCTCGGCTGGACTCGCTGTTGCTCTGGAAAGAAAAGAGAAAAGCCCTGAACCTCCTGAACCCCCTATAAGCCCCTTTCTTAACCCCAAGTCCCCCAATCCCCAAACCCTGAACCCCTATAAACCCTAAACCCAAAGTCCCTACATAGTTAAACGCGAAACACCTAAACCCTAAGCCCAAAGTCCCCAAATACCCTAAACCCCTAAACCCCTAAACCCTACACCCGGAACCTTGAACCCTCCAGCCGGAAGTCCGCTGATCCTCACGATCGATGAGCGGGATATAGGAGGATGTATTTTGGGTGCAGGATGGGTTTAGGGTTTAGGGTTTTGGTGGGTGCAGGATGTGTGGTTTCTGGTCTAAGAACCAGTGACAGGACTCTCCTCGCTCACAGCTGCAACGCGCAACGATGTGTTTCAGAATATTTTCAACATATTCACAAGTTGTGTCTAGAGTTTAGGGATGTTTAGGGTATCAAGCCTGCCCCCGCATGTCTAGCCCCCCACTGAAGGTCTGAATTTGATGAAGCTCGGCCAACAGGGGTTGTAAAATAACCCCGCGCCTCGCTGTTGACTCTTGGCCCGCCCCTCTGTAACAATCCTTGGTTTTGCTTGGGAAAACGATGACAAGAAAAAAACCGATAACATTCTTCGGGAGTTTGGGCCAGGACCCTAAACAAGGCATTTCCAGTACTAAAGTTGTACTACAACCAAGCACAATCCAGCCAGGACCCCAAACGAGGCATTTCCAGTAGTAAACTTGTACTACAACTAAGCACAATCCAGCCAGGACCCCAAACGAGGCATTTCCAGTACTAAACTTGTACTACAACCAAGCACAATCCAGCCAGGACCCCAAACGAGGCATTTCCAGTACTAAAGTTGTACTACAACCAAGCACAATCCAGCCAGGACCCCGAACGAGGCATTTCCAGTACTAAACTTGTACT